AGTCTTTTCCCTCTTTTTGTTTTTAGTTGTCCTCATTTGCCAATTGATGTCTCTTGGCCTACATTTCAATGTGAAGATTTATTCATCTCAGTGGCCCTTGCAAATAATTTCAGCTTTGAAAAGCTCAACACTCCAGTAAAGGGAAAATCAAGTCAATAAGATGTCAGAATGGATTCTACCTCATGGCAGTTCCATGTGTGTCAGAATCGAACTACTTCCCATTGGGTTCAGTGGCTGATCTGGGGAGGAGCAGATTAGCACGCCTCTCTGCCGAGAGGCCTCTGGGTGGAGGCCAACATGCAACGTCCAGTGAGCACCTGAGCTCACAGCTGCCTGTGCCACCAGGGACCCCAGGAATGCGGTGCTGCTGTTAGTTGTCAACTGCCATCAAGTCGATTCCTACTTTTGGGAATCCCAAGTGTCAGACAGAACCACACTCCCCAGGGCTCCTAAGGCTGTGGCCTTTCCACAGCAGGTCGCCTAGCTTTACTGCTGCAGCACACCTCTGGGCAGGTGTGAGCCAGCGACCCTTCAGCAAGCAGTCCAGTGCCTTAGCCATCTGCACCACCCAGCAAAGGACGAGTGGCCTCAAAGTAATAAAACCATCTACTTCACCCAATGAACACGTGTTCTCATCATGACTACTGATATTTTTTAAATGGTAAGAAGCTATAAGCCTCTATTTTCAAGAGCAGAGTCAGTAAAAAGGAAAAACCAAAGCCAGGATGTCTCCACAGAGCGCCTGATGCCACTGTCCCATACTGTGGGGAGGACAAGCTAACCCATTACCTGAATCATGAAGCCGTTCTCCTCATCCATTTCACAAATACATCTCACAATCTCGTTAACAGCATTATCTTCATCCAGAGATTCCTCAAAATTGGTGGAATCAAAGTCCTGATGGTACTCATCCCCACTTAGAAGCAAACTCTCTGTTGAAGAATCATCTAGGAATTCCATATCTGACAAGTCTAGAATATACATAAAAGTAAATTAAGCACTTTTTTTTTTTTCATTTTCGTATCATTTGCTAGAAAGCACTATGGCAGGAGTACGTACAAGCTACTAAATGTCCAAAATGGAAGGCAAAAGAATAACAAGTGTTTCTCTGGACAAAGAACTACTGGTTTTTAAAGTTTCCACAACCAAAATCAAACCCATTGCCATCGATCAGATTCCGACTGCTAGAGACCCCCACTGGTTCTCCAAGGCCGTAAATCATCACGGAAGCAGACGGCTTCATCTGTCTTCCATGGAGCAGCTGATGGGTTCAAACCACCAACCTTATTTGGAATTCTTTGCATCTTACTGCAGACAGTATCACAAATCACTCAAACAGTACTATTTCAACTTGGTTCTTCCAGATATTATGGCTAAGTCTGATACTACTAATTTAAATGCACAGTTTTCAAATGCGTTCCCAAACATTATCCCTTTTCATAAGAATTCTACATTGTACCGTGGAGAAAAACAGAACTTCAGTGAGGTTAAGGAGCTTACTTAAGGTCTGACAGCAATTCTACTGCCATCCACAGGACCACCTGTACCAACTACCACTGCGCTTAATATACTGTGCACCTGAAATATAAGATACAGAGCTTGCCAAGGTAGCACAGCCAGGTAGAGACTAAACCAGGTAGAATACCAGGTAAATGAGGCCCGATTCTAAAGTCTGATTCCACCAGTATTTTTCAAACTTGGAACATAAGGTCCCTAAGGAGTCTTAAGATTTTTATTTTGATAAAAACTTTTAATTATCAAACATTCTAGAAACTAAATTATATGAACACTACACTTCTATTTAAAGGCCAGGTTTTTATTTATGTTTATAAAGTATTGATGCCACAGTGTCAACAGTATTGCATGTTGAGGTCTGAACCATTTGTCTCAGGATGTTAAGAAAAAATCAGGCCCAACCTAGGGAAAAGTTAAAAAAACGACAGGGCACATTTTACTAAAGGTCCTACAATGGCTTAGATGGAGAAATGTTAGGAAAATTGACTCGTCACTAGAGACATGGTGGTTGTTGTTGTTGTTAGGTGCCGTCGAGTCGGACTTGACTCATAGCGACCCCTCCTCGGGTTTCCAAGACAGTATCACTACGGAAGTAGATTGCCCCATCTTCCTTCCGAAGAGTGGCTGGTGGGTTTGAACCGCCAGCCTTCTGGTTAGCAGTCAAGTGCCTTTAGCCACTATGCTACCAGAGCTCCCATGAGAGACATGGTAGAAAACTTAATTAAAAGTTGCTATTAGGGTAATCACAGGAGCTCTGGTGGCATAATGGATAAGGTATTTGGCTGCTCACCAGGTCAGTGGTTCAAACCCACCAGTCACTTCATGGAAGATGGGTAGATATACTTCCATAAAGATTTACAGCCTTGGAAACCCAAGGCAGGGTCACTATAAGTCGGGATCGACTTAATGGCAGCGAATTTGTTTTTTTGGTTTATCAAGGTAATCAGGGAGCTCTACTGGTATAGTGGTTACAGCATTTGGCTGCTAACCAAAAGGTCAGTGGTTTGAACCCACCAGCCACTCGAGGAGAAAGATGAGGCAGTCTGCTTCCGTAAAGATTTACAGCCCTAGAAACCCTACAGAAACCTTAGATACCAGGCAGTTCTACCCTGTCCAATAGGGTCTGTATCAATCACAACAGTCTTTGGCAATGGATGGGTTTTTTGGTTTATGACAGTATGATTACCATGAGGACCTAGTGGCAATTTGAAACCACCAGCCCCTCCGCAAGAGAGAGATGGTGATTTACTTCCATAAAGACCAGAGCCCAGGAAGCCCTATGGAGCAGTTCTACTCTGTCCTATAGGGTCACATGATTCAACGGGACAGCAGCGGGCTGGGTTTGGGTGTTGGTCTGAGGCTGATCAGCAGAGCGCTCGAACAATCAGCCAGTTTGTATCTCACCCTCCTCTCCTCTAGTCACATTCAGAATTACTCTTTTACTTGCTTAGTATTTAGCTCCACTCTGGAATGTCAGAAGCCATGAGAGCAAGGGCTCTGCACTCTTCCATGCTGCATCCCTCAGAGCAAGGCCTAAGACAGGAGGCACTCCAGAATGTCTGTGGCAGAGGGAGGCAGGCTCAGGGAGTCAGAGAGAAATGTTCTTTTCTGACTTAATTAGACCACGTGGAAACTGGCTGAAATCACAGTAAAAAGTTCATGCTCGCTATTTCTATTTTCAATGTTTCTTAAGACTTCGTGCTTTTTTCTATCATGTTCTAATGTTGCTTATTTTTTCCCTGACTCAATGTTTTTGAATGGTTTATTTCTTATTTGTTAAAAGCTAATATTTTACAGAAAAATCAGTGTTTTCTTCTCCTCAGTTCTTAGGACCTTTCAGAGAAAGTAAGGTCAACAGCAGATACTGTGAGAGAAACACATGAAACATGCAGGAGCAGGAAGCAAATTCATTTGATGAGGAAGTATTTTTTTGGGGGGGATCTCTAATACTAACCATAGGACTAGTCTTGAGAACCTGAAGAGGAAATTTCAACCATCCATAATCTTCCTTAAATCTAAAATCTGTATTTTCTCTTGGGATTTCCTGTATGTTTTAAAGTGACAGGCTCTATCACTATACTTTTCAAATCTTGTTGTAGTATCTATATGGTATAAGTGGATGACAATGACAACAGAATCATGAATTTAACCTGAACCTATGTCCCTGGACAGAATTAATGTATGTATCACATATTCTTCCAGGGCTAAAACAAATAAAAATTCTGTCACTAGTATGTGACTAGTATGTGCCAGGAAGTCCAGTTTGAGGAACTAACTCCCAACCATTAAGCATGTATTTGGCAGGACTCAGGGACTTGGTAAACGGATCAACGGGTTAATAGTTACATTAGAAAAACAAGTGAGTTACCTCTTCCACTGAAACAGCCACCTGGAACAATGGTTCCATTTAAGCAGCCACAGAAACATCTGCTTCCTTCCAACAACTAACTCCTGAATTGTCATCACTATTTCTTCAGACAGTATTCTCAAAGGATGGTTCCTAGCCTGTCACCTAGAAGCTTGTCAGAAATCAGAAACTGAGGGTGAGTCCCCAACTCTGTTGCCTCCACAAGCCCTCCAAGTGGTTGTGATGCACACTCACGTGTGAGAACCTCAGGCCTCAGACCTCTGACCCTTTCCTTCTCCCAGCTCAGTGCTGGACCACATGTAAGGGAGGGCAGAGTCAAGGGGCCCGCAGTAAGACCTGACTGATGCTAAGCCCAAGGCTCTTCTCTCCCTCTGACACTGTTTCTGGCTGTTCGGAGAGCCCAGTGCTCACTGCGCTCACCATGCTGCCCTGCGCCCAATTTCCCTGGCCTCTGCTTCTAGATCCACCTGTAAGCAGAAATCCAAAGTGCATTTCTAAGACTGTGATCAATGATTTGGCAGAAAGGGCATCATGTTTGGAGCTGAGATAAACCTTGGTTTGAGTTTTAGCTGTAACACCAGCCCCCAAAGTTACTTAACCTACAAGCCGCTGTTTGCTCATCTAAAAAATATGGATAAAAATATCTACACTTTAAGTTGGCGGTGAAAAATAAATGCGAAAATATACGTAAAACACCTACCAGAGGACCCATTACACAGTAGGCACTGATTCTAATTTCCTTACCATCTCCCCCAACATAAAGTATAAAAGTCAATTTTATTTTACATCAAAAAGTAGCTCAAATTATTAATGTGGAGATTTTCATATTAGCTTCTGTAACAACTTTTAAAATTCTGTGCCCACTCATACAGGCACTTAGGAAAGTATGTTTTATTCTCAGTTCCACATTTAAGAATCTTACGTGTTTTTTTAAGCATTACATGGTCACACATACTTTCACCACTAAGATCAACTGACAAAATTGCTCTCGGGTACTGATAGGTTGTATTTTTCTCTGTAAACATGCTTCGCAGAGCCAGAGAACTCCCAGAAGATCGAGTTAGTGGAGAGGAGCACCTTTCCAGAAATTCTAAGGAACTGTCTTCATAGTCTGAATAGTCTGCAACATAAAACACAGAAAGAAATATTAATAGTCTCAGGTGGCCCACAAGTCACTACACCAACACAAGGAGTCACACCCCACCTTCCTTCTCACCCATCAACAGCCAGCTCACTATGTCACTCAAAGTGAGTTAGGGAAGGACACCTGGGGAATATAGCCCAGACAGCACACTTAGTAGGGATCACCATTTTTTAACTGAAACCAAAAATCAAACCCACTGTCATCAAGTCAATTCTGACTCATAGCAACCCCACTGGGTTTCCGAGGTAGTAAACCTTTATGGAAGTAGATTGCTCACTCTTCCTTCTACAGAGTGGCTGGTGGGTTTGAACCACCAACCTTCCAGTCAGCAGTCAGTTGCCTTAGGTATTGTGCTAACAGAGCTCCTTATTTTCTAACTGAGAAACAATAACAACTCACTGCCGTGGAGTCAGATCGACTCATAGCCACCCCTCCTTGGGTTTCTGAGGCAGTATCACTTCAGAAGTAACTAGTACCCATAAATTCTTTGTTTACATAGTCCAAAAGAGATGAAAAGGGATGATTTTAAAATTTACTTGCCATTATACTCACCACTGTATCTGAAGATATGCAAGATGGAAAATAACCTTTGTCTGCAATTTGTCAAGAGAGTCTCATGATAGCTTGCATGCCTACTACCTTCGTGATAGTCTGATCAATAAATCATTCAGCAACAAAACCTCTCAATGAAGTTAACTGGTCCCGGATGACTTTGGTCAAAGTTCTGTTCTCAGCTCGGAATGATTCATGAGAGTGGGGGCACAGGCACCTTACAGGAGACTGGCGGTGGAGGGTGAGGGGAGGCAGTGGGGGACGTTCTGGGCACATGAGAAGGCTCTGAAGCACAAAACTACATAGCACATTTGACAAACTACAAAGGAGTGTGCCTGGAGCACACTGAGAGGGAGGTAAGGAATGAGGCTGGAGTCGCATGAGACAGACGGTATTAAAGAGCTTTACCATTTTGATCCTAAATGCAAAGGAAGCCATTTGAAGGTTCTAAGGGAAGGCAGGATGCTGCAGAACTGCCCTTATGGTTTGAGAAGGTCACAAACTGGACAAGGAAGTACAGGGAGCAAAAGTGGGGGCACCAGCTCCGAGGCTACAGTAGTTGTGCAAACAAGAGACGATGGCAACTGAGAGAAAGATTTAGAGGTAGATGCAGTGATGTCACACACCGGATGTGGCGAGCTGAGAAGGTATATCAAGAATGACCGCCAGGTTTCTGGCTTAAACGACGAATGGGCTGATGAGCGTGAGATTGTGAGACAGGACTGAAGAATAAATTGGAGGTAAAGAAACTGAGAAGGAATGTGGGTGCAGGAGGGCTTTTTTATCTTACACACTGTCTACTTGAATCTAAAGACGCACAATAGGAAAAGGGTAAGAACTGCCAGAACCTTAATGACAGACAGACATGTATAGGAGAAGGTGTAACAGACGCAGAGGAGAAGATGGACATACTCAGGTAAGAGGTCTATGTGGTGAATGAGATGGGCAGGGTCCCCTCCATTTCCTCAACTGAGTGTGAGGGAAAGGACATCAATTGAAGCAGGAAAAGGAATAAATAAGAGGTAGGAAAGAGTGGGGAAGCTGAGGAAAGGTTTACAAAAGAAGAGCAGTAATCAATTCATGAGTGTCCGCCTGACGTTGACGGTTGTGGTGGGCATAATCATGGCCTCCTAAAGATGTCTTCCCAATCCCCAAAAGTTGTATATTAGGTTACACAGCAAAATGAAATTAACATTGCTAATCAACTGGCCTTAGAAACAGAGAGATTGTCTGTGTGATGTAGGTGGGCCCAACGTGATCCTGAGTCCTTCAAAGTCAGAGAGGGAAAAGGGGTAGATGTGCGAAGACCATATCTGGCTTTGAAGATGGGGGCCATGCTCCAGGAATGTGGGTAGCCTCTAGAAGCTGGAAAAGCAAGACAACGGATTGTCCCCTAGAGCCTCCAGAAATGAATGTAGCCCTGCCAACACCTTTATTTTAGCTCAGTGTCACCTATGTGGACTTCTGACCTCCAATCTTTAAGATAATAAACGTGTGGTTTTAAGCCACAGATTTGTAGTAACAGCAGCAACAGGAAACTAATACAGTGGTCATCCTAAATACAAAAGCATTGACAACATTTATTTATTAACTTCTACAGTCCACACAAGGAGCTCTAGTGGCAAAGTGGTTAAAGCACTTGGCTACTATCCAAAAGGTTGGCAGTTCAAATCCACCAGCCATTCTGTGGAAGAAAGATGAAGCAGTATGCTTCCGTAAAGATTTACAGTCTTGGAAACCGTATGGGGCAGTTCTACTTTGTCCTAAGAGATCTTTATGAATTAAATCAACTTGACAGCAGTGGGTTTGATTTTTGTAAAGTGCTCACATCTATCCAATAAGGAAGATACAGCTGGTTTTGCTATTTTACAAATCAAAGAACTGAGGAAGTAAAGGTTACACAATTTGTTCAGAGACCTGAAGAAGTAAAGGTTACAGAGATTGTCCGGAGATATACAGCTATTGGTGGTAATGCTAACATTCCAACCCACACAGCCTGACCATAGCAGCTCACTCTTAACCAATTATGTAATTAGCGGATTTCAAATTTTAAGGCACACACACACAAACTGAAAAGCTTATTAAAACACACATCCTGGGCCTTACCCCAAGTAGGTCAGGAGTACAGATACTCCCAGGTGAGGCTGATGTGGCCAGTTTACAGAACCACCTTTGAGGAACATAACACTGTGCTATTTAATCCACCTCTCATGGTTTCACAGTAACGTGAAACTGCACACTTTGCCAACACCATGCTTTTCAAGCACAGGGATAGAAAAAGCATTTATTAAATGCTACATACTGTGTTAGTACTTTACAGTGACTGCCACAATAAAGTCTATGAACTAGGAGCTGTAGTTCCCATTTTAGAGTTTAAGGAACTGAGGTTTAGAGAATGTAAGTAACTGCCCAAGACCACCAGCTATGAGCGTCACCAGCAGGATTTGACCCACATGCTCAAGCCTGGCAGCTGTTCTCTTATCCGCCCCATGTTACATTGTCTCCCCAGCAAAAGTAGTAGTAGTCTGCTTGTAAAAGTGAGAGAAATCCCAATTTGGTGTTAAAAATAAAACATGGCTGACATTTCATCCCTCCATGTTACGTCAGCAAATGAGGAAAAGTTCTTTGCACTCTACACCCTGCCTATATTCCCCATTCCCATGCTTTGGGCAGTAAGAGTAAATGTCTCCTGTCGTGCTTCAACACTCAGATCAAGTCAACCCTTCCACGAAGCTCCTTCTCTTCATCCCACCAGCTTCTCAAAACTGTCAGTAGAAAGCGCTCTGTGCCACTCCTACCACACGTAACAACACATCATACCTTCCCGATGAGAGTTAAGTGTGCCTCTTCTAACTCTTACTCACAAATTCCTTGAAAGGAAATTCTGATTTCACTGTGGAATACTTGGATTCTCTTCATAATCCCTAGCTCTAGCGCCTTCTAATCTCTCTGTGCCTCAGATTCCTCATCTTTATAGATACATGAAATTCAACGAGGTGAAGTGACTTGCTCAAAGAGCAACAAAAATGGCACTCTATGGAGAGTGTATCCAAGATCATATACAGGGTTGGCAGACAATGGGCCTCTCGAAGAGTATGAAGGGATGGACACTGGGAGGAGGTAACTATGGGGAGGAAGTGGGAGGGGAGCTGCTGCATTGTAAATTTTGGTCAATGACATGAGACAAAGTATATGTGAACTGCTGTATGAAAAGTGAATTTACTCTGTAAATCTTCACCCAAATCCTAAAAAAAAAAAAAAAAAATGGCACTCTAAATAAATATTAGTTTTATATCTTATAAATTAATTCTAGTAATCAAAATATATTTTAACTCACTACTGTATGGAAAAATTATAATAAACTATGTAACTACATTACCACTTTTCATAAAGACAAGTAAAAAGTTGGTAAAGGGAAGAATACACACCAGGATGAACAACCTTGAAGATCCGGGAGGGAACACTCACCACACACCTTGATGGTTATGGATTCAGACACGGGGGCAGAATGCCCGCACTGGAATTCCCTCTTCCCCACTTCCCAGCCGTGTGGCCCTGGGCAACTCCTGGTCTCTCTCAGCTTTAACTAACAGCTTACAAAATGGGGACAACAGGTAATGGACCAATGAATACATGATGGATGCTCAGTGTCTGGTCCATGACAACTGCCAGTAGGGTATGCCAAATCACACTGAATGGTGAACAAACGAAAAGTTTAAACTCTCACAGTGGTAACTGCAGATTAAAAAACTTGCCATACCAGAAACCTTAAAGGAGTAATAGGGTTCTTTAATGTGACAATGCCTTTCAAACATTCAGTTATTTTAAGTCCCATATTTTCAGTTAAAAGAACACTCTTCTAATTTAATCATCTGGGGGAAAGTATCACTCCAGGATAAATGTAAATAGTGTCACTTCCAAAATGAATAAATTCTCCTCAAATGTAGTAATTAATTTTCAAGGTCTGGCAATTATCAGACCCAGCGCTTGCTGTTTAATTACAGCAATCCCTCCATGCTCTTCAGTAATACCAGGGCTCTATTCCCAACAGTGAGATTTTCATTTACAGGACTCATTTTAAGATGCAAACAAAGACACAACTCTTTGCTTTTTAATTAAATACATAAACACCTAACAGTTATAGTGTTCACTTTCTAATATAATAGCTCTTCCACTATGTCAATCCATCTTGTTGAGGGCCTTCCCCTTTTTTGTTGACCCGCTACTTTAACAACCATGATATTCTAATCCGGGAAACAGGCCCTTCTTACAACATAACCAAAATAGGTGAGACGAAGCCTAGCCATTCTCACTTCCAAGGAGTATTCACAACTGTAAGGTATATGTTTTCTTTGCACTGCTTTCTCTAAGGCCTATCAATCCTAATCACCCTTCTTTCTTCCAAGTCACCACCAGTCCCAATCTCATAAGCTTTTCTGCCCCTCACTGTGCTCCCAAGTGCTGCCTTTCTTATTCTGTTCTTGATCAGCCTCTCACTGTTATCTTCCCCCTCCACCACTGCAAGTACTTTAGCAGATAAGATTCATGTCTCTGATGAAGTATCAGAGAGCTCAGTTCACTGATGCAGCAGAAGAGGACTTAAACAGCTGATCCTTCTTGCATAGACAACTCATGTCTCCAGTGGAATACACATACCAGCCACATCCCCTCACAGCCTCTGGCCAGTAGCGAGCTAATGTGGCAGTCTTATCGCAGTTTGAAGCTTCTTGTTTCTGGATTATGACTCATCACTCAGAGGATGGCACTCAGTTGCCACATGAATTTGTGGCTAATGGTTTTTGTGTATGTGGCCCCAGAGTGTCTCTGGTATGGGCTCTACAGAGCTGTGCATGCAGGCGTGTGGGTGGAGTGGGGAAGAGGCGGGGGAGAATGCAGACACAGCAGCATCTGGAAGTGTTCAAGATCCTCTTTGCAAACTGGATCAAGCTTTCCAAAGTCATTTTGATCATCTGTCTTCAAAATGGCCCTGGCAGCTTTAGAGAATGCAGACCTGTCACGTCCCATGAAAAAATCAGGTACCATTTTTGGACCATGGAGAGAATTAAAAATCTGAAGAGTCTACTGTCCAGTGAGCTTATTTTTTAAAGCCATTTTAATCAAATGTTTAATGAAAAAACATTAATATAAAAAGGATATTAATGCCACAAATCCCTAAAGTGCTGATCATGCAGTTCAGAAGATCACTGCCAAAGGCTCCTTTGTGCTGCTCTCCAATTTGAACCGTTAAGAGGCTTGTGTCTCCTGGGCACACGGGCTTTTTCTCTTAATCAGTCTTAATCTGTACTGATTTTACTAGTATTTCTAAAGAACTGATTCTGGCATGATTTCATTTTTCCTAACAGTTTTCAAGTTAATATCTGCTCATATCTTTAATATTTACTCTACTTTCTTTGGATTTACTCTTATTCTTTTTCTAACTTCTTAAGCTGAAAGCTTAGCTAATTTCACCCTTCTCCTCTATTCCAAAGGAGCTCTGGTGGTGTAGTGCCTAAAGCACTTGACTACTAACCAGCAGGCTGAAGGTTCAAACCCACCAGCCACTCCTCAGAAGGAAGACTGGGCAATCTACTTCCATAGAGATACCGCTTTGGAAACCCAAGGAGGGTTCAGTATGAATTGCAATTGACTCAACGGCAGTGAGTTTTTAGTTTCTCTATTCTAAGCACGAATAACTGTACATTTTCTTCTAAGTCCCACAAATTTTGATATATAACATTTTCATCTTTTTTTTTTTCCTTTCTTTCTTTTGGACTTGTTCTGTCACCGTGAATTATTTATAAGTGAGTTTCTTAATTTCTAAACATATAGGACCTTCCTATTTATCTTTTTGATACTTGTTTCTAGTTATATTGTAGTTAGAAACCACGGTCTCTATTAATCAATCTTCAGTATTTGTTGAGCTTTACTTAAATCTGCACCATGTGGTTAATTTTAACAACATGTGTCTGTCTGAGAAAACTGTGTCCAGTACAGCTGCTGAGTCCAGTGTTCCGGGTCCACTGTTTAGATCAACCACGCTGTTGATACCTTCCTTGTCCTCACAGACTCATTTTTAGTTTTGTTCATTTATTACCTATTACGAAAGATATGACAATGTCATCCAATGATAAAAATTCAAACATTTTATATCTAGGAAGATATAAACTGAATAGGACCTTTTATCATTATATGTTTTTCTATTTCAATATTTCTCTATCCCTTCTATCCTTTTATTTTAGAGATGTCTCTTGCAAACAACACAGAACTGGACTATAAAAAATCTAGTGTGGGAACCTTTCTCCCATAGCTATACTTACTAATAAATTTGGATTTATTCCTAAAAGCTTATTTTATAACTTGTGTTTTTCTCCCTTACTATGCCCACTCCTCCTCTTTCATTATCTTTTTTGGGATCAGGTTTTCATTATGTTTTTCCCCTCTAGTTTGGAAATTATACCTTAGAGTCTTCTGTTCTTTCAATGTTCATGGCAGAAATTTTAACATACAGATTTAACTTATCAAAGTATAAAACCAAGAAATCCCCTTCATTCCTCCAAAAGAAGAATCTTAAAAACATTTATTTGTATCAGCTTGCAAGTAGCCATCTAGATGCAACGATGCGTCTCTCCTTGTCAAGAGCAAAGAAGAATAAAGGAAACCAAAGATTCATGGAAACAATTATTCCAACCAACTGGTACACCATGTGATCCTCATCCTATAAGACTATAAGACCAGAAGAACTAGATGGTGCCTGGCTACCACTGTCAACCACCCAGAGGGGGATCTATGTAGGAGATCCTGGGTGGAGAGGGAGAACAATGTAGAACAAAACTTAAAATCATTTGGGGGAAAAACAAAAAAGGACCAGGTTTGCTGGTCTGATAGAGCCTGACGGAACCAAGGAGACTACGGCCCCTAGCTGCCCTTCAGGTCTGGAATTGAACCCACACCTGTGGCTTCCAGCCAAACAAAAGACAGGCATATGAGGTGACCATTTACACTAGGCAGATACACTCTTTGGAGAGATCAATCATAGGAGAACAGAAGGGCTGTGTATGCACAGGGAGACAGCTCAGGGGGCAGGAATGCATGGAGGGAAGGACACAGGGAAGAGGTAACTATGGGGAGGAAGTGGGAGGGGGAGCTGTTGCATCGTGGGAAATTGCAGTCAATGTCATGAGGCAAAGAGTATGTGAACTGCTGTATGGAAAGTGAATTTGTTCTGTAAATTTTTACCCAAATCACAATAAAAAATTAAAAAAATGAAAAATAATAATTTATATCCAAGTATGCCCCTCCTAAATTACAAGATGATATTATATATTTTTTTCTATATTATTTTGTTTTGTTTTACTCCACAGACCAAATTATTTTATACAATCAATGTCTGGTTAAATTTATAGACATATTTACACTTTCTTTTTTCATCATTTCTTCTGGCATCTCAAAGTTTTCTTACCATCATTTTCTTTCTGCTTTAAAGTATAACTTTTAGAATTTCTTCTAGAAATGGACTGTTGGTAGCAAACACTTCCCGTATTTTAAAGTTTTTCTAAAAATTTCTTTATTTCACTTTCACTCTTTAATTATTCTAGATTGAGAATCATTCCTCAGTATGCTAAAAGGTTATCTGGTCAGGGTATCTAGTACACCATACTGGTGAAAAAAGCAAGCCTCTAACCCATTGTAACAATTAACTTATAGACCATATTAAAGCACAGTTGTCTATATTTTATATTTCTAAGAAAAAGGAAAGGGAAAGCTACAGGAACTTCTCAGTTCTTGCCAACAACAATGGGGATCTCATCATACCTCCGTTCTGGTTTCAGAAGAAAAGCTGTAAGAATCGTCACATTTTTCAAATTGGGAATGGCCACATCAGCAGACTCACCATGTTGCTTTGATTTCTTTTTTTTCTTCTTCTTCTTCTGTTTCGGTTTGTAGTGATCCTTGTCTCTTTTCTCTTTTCTTTCCTTATCCTTTTCTTTTCTCTTACCTAAACAATAAAAGTGAGTACTTTAATGATCATGACTGGCCCAGAGTCATTCCTTTGGTGGATAACCTAAAAGTAGCATTTATGTTTTAATCAGCTATTCCAGTCACCTGCCCAGAGTGGACGGATTCAATTAAACTGTTCATGTCATGAGTCTCCAACTCTTGATTAGCTTATTGGACTATAAGAGGGGATCTTCATTAGCAGTGTTGAGAAATCCCAACTCCTGACACCTTAAAGTTAACACAGACAGTAGTTAAAATCTTTAAATGGGTAATACACTCAACTTCCTGATGTGGCAAGAAATAAGACTCCACCATTTAAAAAGACCTGATGGAGGAGACTCAGCATTGCGATATGTAATTTAATGAGAAACTCTATTGTTGCTGTTATTATGTGCCATCGAGTTGGACCCAACTCATAGTGACCCCTCCTTGGGTTCCGAGGCAGTATCACTATGGAAGTAGATTGTCTCATTTTCCTTCCGAGGAGTGGCTAGTGGATTTGAACCGCCAGCCTTCTGGTTAGCAGTCCAGTGTCTTAGGCACTATTAAAAATTTAATGAACTTTTTCTTCAAAGGAATTTTTAAAAAGTAAGTCAATCCATAAATAGTCTTTCAATACTTTCTCAATGTGTACAAAAATGAAGGCAAAGAATATAAAGAAAAAAAATTCATTAAAATTATTTTCCCCAAAATTTTATAATTTTTCTCCCCAGTCATATGTACTCTAAAGAAAATAAATGGGATGTTAGAGTAGTACCTTAGAAAATTTTATTTTAAATCAATTTATTACATATTTTCAAGTTGCTATTGTTTCAACTCAGAATGGTTCAGCCTACAATTTATCCATTATATTTACACCAGTTAGTTACCAAGTTCCAGTTAGCTAATCTGTAGAATATTCAAGACTATCATCTATCATTCTCTGACTCAATGATCACAGCACAGAAGATAGAAAAGATAGCAGAAAACACAGTGGCTATTTTAATTGTAGGGCGAGAAAAGAGTCTTAGGAAGAAAATGACTGCTAATTTATCATCCATCCTCCAAGTCTCCTGAATATTAAATGTAGGCATATTTTTATATAGCCATACTTTTAATTAGAGATGTTCAAACACACAAATGTTGGCAGGGAAACCTTTAGATGTCCTTGACAGAAAAAATACATCAAACACTACAAAGCAGGTATTTTAAGAAAGCAGGTACCTGGAGCTAGACAGCACTACTAAACACTTAACATCGAAATAAGCAAACAGGTCATAGGTGAGGGGCAGACTCTGTCCTCCCTGTCTGTCAAGCTTTCTAGTCTTTTGCTTAAAAATTACTTTCTGTTCATACCAAATGTGGTTGAGCTTTTTTCTTCCAATTTCACTTTTTTTTCTGTTTTCAATATTCCTGTGGGTTTAGGGAAAAAAATAGGGAAGTTTAGTCAGGAAGGGTTAAAAGTCAGGGACAATGTTTTGAATTACAATTGTTCATAAAACTCTACATAAGACTCTTTCCCTACAAGCCTACATTACTTTACCACCCAAACTAAGAACAAAGAAAGAGGGATTTCGTTAAAGGCTGAGTTTTGTTGCTTCTGACTCCCCAGTTTCAAATCCTGGCTCTACCATTTTACGAGCTGGATGGTGTTCAGTAAGCAATTTAATCTTTTGGTGGTTCAGGCTCCTTGTCTGCAAAAGAGGAGTAAGAGTACCTACCTCATGTTGTTATAACCAGGTCTGGCAAATATAAGTACTTGTTTCCAATTTTTCTTTTGTGCTAGGGTAGTAATTTGAGACTACACTATTTCTAAAACAGCATAAATATGGGACTAATTATTAAAAATGTTAAGATATGTACTAGACAATCTGTAAAGATCAACTGTGGCATCAAGGCCTTGGGCAATTCAGGGGTTCAAGTCTGCTTGGACAGTAGGCCCATCATTCCTGCTTCTGTGAGAGTTACGGCATAACCAGTACTCAAATCATCCAAGTGAGATATTAACCTTCAATTTAAAGTATAATGGCTTTCAACAACCTGTATAAAATTTTTTAATTAATATTTAATATCATGTTGCCTAAAAGAAGGGGCACAATCTCTGTTTTATCATGAGTGTGTTGTTAGCTAGTAGCCAAAATGAAACTGTTCTGAAAATCATTTTTGTCTTTATCTAAAAATGGAAATTTCAACAGCATACCTATACAGAGAAATATTTGGTCTTAATGGCACTCAGGTATACACAATATATTTTTAAACCAATATCACAACTCAAATGACAAGAGACATTTAATGAAGCTTCTCAATTCGTATTTGACCATTCCCAATGCTAGTATCTAATGTGCAGGGTTAACCTAAGAAAAATATTAACATGCACTTAAAATACAATTGGTTTATTAAATTATATTTTAATACCATCATTTTCTAATTGATTTTTTTTCGTATCACTACAATGCAGTATTTCTGTGCACTGAATTATATCCCTAAAAACATGTGCTGTAAATCCTAACCTCTGTAATCCCATTTGAGAAGGGGCTATCTTTGTTATGTTAACGAGGCAGGGTGAGTGTCCCTGGGTCTGGAATTAATCTCTCACTACATTTAAAAGGAGATGAAGGAAGCAGAGATAGGGGAAGAGAGATGCCAAGCCACAGGAAGAAGCTCAAAAAGTGAGGAGGACCTTCCTCCTGAGCGGACAGAGAGAAAGCCTTCCCCTGGAGATGAGGCCCTGAGTTCAGACTTCCAGCCTCCTCAACTCTGAGAAAATACA